AAATTTCTGAAAACACATTCTGACCTCTGCTTTATACTTATGAATGGCTTTTATTCTTCAGGTCAGCTTCTGGAAGCTGCTGAGCATTATGAAGCATTCCATCAATTGACGCAGGGGCGGATATGGAAGGATGAGACAGGCCGCTCTCTCAACTTGTTGGCCTGTGAGAGTCTCCTGAGGACTTACAGATTACTCGCAGACAAAATGCTGCAAAATAAAGAATACAAACAGGCCATCAAAATTCTAATAAAAGCTTCTGAAATAGCCAAAGAAGGTGGGTGGAAAAGAACACTCTCACATTGTTTTCTTTAATGGGTGGACACTGGTTCTCCCAAGAGTGAAGTAAAAATCGTCAAGTGTTAGGGTGATTATTTCCTATGAAATGCAAAGACAAATGCCATCAATTTACTTTCAAATTTCACTGTAAAACGGAGGTGCCTTAGTGCTGACAACAAGAAATCCATTAGTTTCTTGAAAGCTTTATCTCCAAAATTACAATCCACTGGGGGTAGTGCTGTAAAACAAAGAACCTAAAGTGAGAAGGTAAGATCATCTGCAAAAGTTAAGCGTGGGTATGTGCAATGTGCATGTGTGTATGTGGTTGTATATTCCTTGGAGTCTTAGAGACCTTTCATTGTTTGCACATTCCCCATTGTCAGGTAACAAGGAAAATATGCTATATATTTAGTTATCAGTAACAGGAAAGTAGGACTGTAATATATTTTAGATCAAATGTGGCCTTTAGACCAGCAGCTTCAGCATGTTATAACAGCCAGGGTCTCAAGTCCCACCCTAGACCTACTGCAGCAGGATCCCCAGGTTAGCAAGATATCCAGGTGATGTATATGTACACTTAAAGCAGTGAAAATGCTTCTATGAGAGCTGCTCATGTCTTTCATAGTCTGTATCATTTCTGTACAGGTAAAATACAAAGAAAAAATTTGGAGCATATTCTTGTAAGCTTTTAATTTCTGAAATGCAAGGATATTTTGTTACCATATAGTAATTTATTAATAAAGTAGCCTTTTCGTGAAGGAGAAAAAGATAAAAGTTATGCTCCTGAACTAAAGTGTATTAGCTCATGGATATATTTAATTGACTGGTTTATTAAATAATAGATGGCTTATTTAGAGTGAGCAGGACTGATTTCCTGGGTGTGATTTTAATTTACTAAAGAGTAAAAATAAACAGCTTAGTCTCTCTGTAACTTCTTTCAATAATATTAGTCAACATACTCACAGGAAATCACCCCCTGAAAGACGCATCTCATTAAATGAACTACTTTTGTATAAATGGTCTAGTATCTTCCCCCAAAAGGGTAAATACATAGTTAGCTCTTAGATCAATTTCAGCAGCAAACTTTAGTCACATGGAAAGTTACATGGAATTTCAATGAAAAGGAATGCATTGATTAGGAAAAGATACATTACTTTAGGTTTACTTTGCTAAGTTTTAAGGTAGTTCACAAAGAAAGAACAGTTCCTTGGGTCTCTGCCAACAGTCAGAGCCTGTCAAGCCGTCTTCTTTCAAAAAGCATCTCTCGCTTACCAAAGATCAGATCAGGAGAACAAGAGAAGACTTACTTCTTACGCTGTTATAGTTTTTAATGTCTTTTAAAACCAATAAATATTTGTCCCCACATTTTTCTTCGAAGAAAGTACATAGGTTAAAGGATTGCACAATACTTTTCAGAGCTCTTAAAGAGGGTAAATATTCTGGGACAAAGTATCCTGTTACTCTTGTCTCCTACGTTGATCAGGGAGCCTGAAGGAGCAAGCTGATGATTACCCAAATAAAGCATGCCCCTCACATTGGTTCACATAGTATTTAAGGGGTATTGACACCAACTGTCGGCCAACTCCTTTGTTAGGGTACATTGGTGTAATGCGCAAATGTAGCATCAGCCAACACCTTTTACTTAACATAATGTTTTCAAGGTTCATCCGTCATGTAGGGCCAAATCACATTCCATTGCATGGTTATACCACATTTTCTTTATTCACTTATCAGTTGATGGACATATGAGTTGTTTCCACCTTTTGCCTATTATGAATAATGCTAGAATGAACATTTGTGTACAACTTTTCAAAGATCTTGATTGTATGCTTAGGAGTGGCATCACTGGGTTATATGACAACTGTGTTCAACTTATTGAGGAGCTGCCAGTTTTCCAAAGTGGCTTCACCATTTGACATTTCCAGTAGTGATACATGAGGGTTTCAGTTTAGCCACTTCCTCACCAGCACTTGTTACTTTTATCTTCTTCATTATACTCATCCTAGTAGGTGTAATGTGGTATCTCACTGTGGTTTGATTTGCATTTCCCTGTTGGCCAGTAACATTGAGGGTTTTTTGTCATGTGCTTCTTGGCCGTTTGGATATCTTCTCTGCAGACATTTTTATTCAGATTCTTTGCCTGGTTTAAATTTTTTTTTTTATGATTGAGTTTTAAGAATTCCGTGTATATTTTATGTACAAGTCTTTCATTAAATATATGATTTGAAAATATTTTCTCCTGTTCTGTGGGTTTTATTTTCACTTTCTGATGGTTTTCATTGAAGTACAAGTTTTTAATTTTGATAAAGTTCAGTTCATCTAGTTTTTCTTTTGCTGTTCTTGCTTCTGATATCA